CGCTAACTCTGTGAGTACCCGTTCCGATGTGATTCAACACGATTCTCATCCTCGCATTCTCCCCACTCTTGCTAGGTCAATGCTTTGGTCCTGAACTTGTCAGCCACTCCTACGGCAGCGATTGCCTCCGTCTACCTGTTCCTATTGGTTCCTTTCTGCGTGCAAGCAATACTCGTACTCCGAGTGCTCGCCGCGTATCCCCCGAAATCCTTGCCGCCCAGTCGTCGACTAGTCATATACGGCCCGATCATCATATTCAAGCTGGCTCGGATTGCGAACTTGATATACATGGCGGTCCGCCTCGAGCAACTGATTCAGGCTGGAGGCGGACTGAGTAGCAATTCAGTGTTTACCGTGTCGCAAGCTGTGTGGACTCTGCCGAGTGCGAAGGCCGAATGGTTCTTGCAGCTCTTCGACGACATGTACGGGGTCTTTACTTCTAAGGGGGTATCGGTGTCTGATGTTAATCAATTCGACAGGTATGCGTCGACGCTCTTCATCCTACGTCTCCGTCAAGGGACGGGGATGCTTGGTAGACAGCCCACCGTCGAGAGACTGCACACTACCTCGGCGAAGAGTACGTCTGTCCTTCCTCGATTCTGATAAGACTTGACTCACTCAGGACCGCCAGGCACATACCTCCAGCGGCTCAAGACACTCTTCTGGATCGCAGTCTTCAACTTCGTCTTCCCCATCATATTCAACATCGCAGTGCTCATTTTGGCGTTCCGCGATTCGAACTTCCTCGACGGGAGCTACATCATCTACACGAACAACTACGTGGAGATCATCGGAGTCCTCCTCGCGACCATCTGGGCTGCGGGATCTCACAAGGATGACGGCGACAACTCTAGCGGCCGGCTGGGTTCTAGCCAGACCGCTGGAAGTCATGGTCACATACACCTCGTTAAAATGACGTCTTCATCCACGTTCCAGGTGTCTGAGAGTGTGGACGCGAAGGTGTGAGGCTAGCGCGACTGTAGTACGGTTTAGAAAGCGCAAGTAAAGTCGTACGTGACGTAGGTTATAAAGACCAGAGAGCAATGTGATTGCAACGTTTGTGTGGCGCCAGCTGTTCTCGTGTGTGGTCCTCCAAGTGCCCTCCGGGTAACCATTTTGCGTGCATGTGTGTGCTTGTCTCCGACTCAATACATTTTCCAGTCCTTCAGTACATGTCCCGTACCGCTCTCATATTAGATTGACTCGCACCTTGCCTTCGCCCACTGCTCTCCTTCCTTCTTTTCAGTCGGTCCTGATCCCCAAGGTACGAGGATGATTTATGTTCGAGCTACGCTGAGCCTTGTGTTGCGGTCTCTCCATTATACAGCGACAGGGAGAGCACATCTCAAAGATTTACGTGCTGAAGCGAGAGTTCCACTTTCAATCTGACCCGAAGCCCATCTCCCCCACCATGACCGACTGAATGACAGTATGGGAGCATATGATCTCAGGAAACCCAAGGGCCCCAAGCACGCAGACCCTGAAGATCGCGGGAGTCCTTCAGCTCGACGTCAGCGACACTTGGGCGAGCGCCAGACGTCTCGGTGTCTATGCGGAAGGTTGGCATGTTTGATAGCAAGACACGAGATCTTGGCGAACGAACTTGCCGATCTGCCCGCAGGTATCGACTGCACAAGAGGATCCCACAGGGGGCGACCCTGTTTGCGGAATCTTGCGCTTCTTACGCTCTGACGGGGCGAGCGCGACCTGGAACGTGGGGTAAGCTATAATCATGGATATGAGCTCATACCGGGAAATGATAACGCAGACTTCAAGTAGAGAGCGGAATTTCTCAAGCCACGCGAGGTTCCTTCTCGATGAGCCTCAGCAATGCGACTCAGCAGCGCATGTGCACTGGCGGAGATTCCCCTCAGAAGGAACCTCATCGATGCACACGGTATCCTATGTAAGACAGGCCCGTGTGCCAGCCAGAGAACGCAGAGCAAATTAATAGCAGCGCGCACATTATGCTTGAAGACCGACAGGTGGAGCCTCGTCATCCATCGACATCGGCGATCCTCGCGTTCCCTGTAGTAGATCAGCCCTAAGTCAAACCAAGACATGATACCAAGACATAGACATAGTGCACAAGGTTGTCTATGCTCATCCGATTTTGAACTGTACAACGACGGTCAGCGACATCAGCAAATGTATCAAACCATGGTCTTGCATGGCCACGGCGCCCGAAACTGGCCTACCCTTTCCGGAAACCACAAGCGCCTACTAATGCTGGCTCCCATCTCGTCCGACAGACTCCGGCCAATGAGCATCTGCGCAGATGGATCCCGGTAATCATAGGTAAGTAATTATCTTGCACTGTCACTTCATACCACAAAAGTGTCATTAGAGAAAGTGTAGATACAGCCTGAGACTATGCATAGCGCTCCGCTAGACCACAGCCGCCTCCTGGCTCTCCGGCGCTAACGTCTCCCTGATCTCCTTCTCCCTCTCCCTCGCGCTCTCCTTGATAAACTCGGGGCTGTGAAGACAAAGATTAGATCCGACTAGAGTCGAAGCAAGATCTTCAGTCAGTAAGGAAAGACTATATTGTAGCAACGAACTGTACCTAGAGTCGAAGCAAGACTACAAAGGTTAAGTAAGTAACTACAAGTTAGAGGTAGATATAATGAAGTACTCACTCTTCAGTCAGTAAGGAAAGACTGAAGAGGGAGGACACAATCTGAAGTCCTTATATACTACAGAGAAGTGTCCATGACTAATCGAAGAGTGGTTAGTCACATGTACCATAGTGCGATGAATAATACAATGGTGAAAGAATTGCGACGTATCGCACCATAGGATGAGTAAGAGATGAGTAAGGCATAGACCTGTCTAGACCGTTCTGGAGTAGTACGGATTGTCCTAGACAGTACCAGAAGAGTCCGGAAGCATAGCTATAGTACACGAGCAGAGAGTCCCAAATAT